AATAAAAGTATTTGAGACCTACTTTATTTATGGATGATAATATGGTTCCAAATTACATTAGATCATAAATCTTCATTTTGTTGAATAAGAGTACATTATTATTAATGTTTATTTATGCTCTGGCATATCTCTTTCTGGTGCTTAGTTAATGCCTTTTTAAAAACCTAGTTGAAGTTGTACTGCATTTACAATTTGATATCATGTTTTGTTTGTTTTTGTTTTTTTAGTGAATGTCATAAGCATTTTTCCATTCCTTAAGGCACATTACCTTAAATACATAATTTTAGATTATCTAGCATATATATATAAAATTATATATACACATATACATATATACACATATATGTGCACATATGTATATAAATGTGTACACACAAATATACATCTATATATGCATACATATATAAAATAAATTACCAAAAGTGAAACTGCGCTTCAAAGTGTGATTGTGTTTAAGACTTGATAAAGCCTTGGTGCTTTTCTTATTGAGCTGAGCGAGCCCTTTGTAGTTTCCTAATGTTGGGGCCTTTACCTTGCATTAACGTGCTGCAACCTTATTTTTGTTGATAACTCAGGCATATTATATATCTACAGTCCTTAACATAACCCTTGGTGATTTTTAACAGCTACCAACTCCACTACCACAAGGAAGTCTACTCCCATCTCATTCTGTTTTGCTGTTACCTCATACATGCTTCAAGAGGCTAGGAAGTCAGGTTTCTAAGCTGCATAGGAACATCATCAGCCAATATTCAATAAGATTCAGATGAGAGATCTCAGTAGTGAATATGGGATGCAGGTGCTCGTGACACCTATTTTGTGTCTGGCTCAAGCTTCTGGGGGCTTTTTGGATAACTGGGGTGCTACCCTGATTTAAGTGCCTTTTTAAGTGACATGTATTAAAATCTAATAAGAATCTGACCCTGAAAAGCAGCAGCTTGCTTTCACCTACTGCCCTCCAATGTTGACCCAATTTTATAGTTTTCTTCCCAGATGATTTCCTGTGTTTGATTCCTTTAGGACTATAATAACTTTTCTGTAAAAGCCTTCCAAGTGGGTACTCTAAATTGTGACATCGTTTTCTTACAGAAGCAAAGTAGCCACATTTTTATATTCATTAACTAAACAAAACCTATTTCAACTGTAGTTAGTCTCATTTTTTAAAGTATCTATTAAAAATGCTTGTTAACAGATCAGCTTGGGTAGATAAAAAGCAAAATCATAAAGCAGCAAAAAAAAACCAAAATTCTCACCCAATATCATATCTTCTTGGTTTGGACTTGTTGGAAAGTCATAATATCCAGTATTTTAAAGGAGTAGGTTTCTCAGCTAAGATTTCAGTCTTCTGCACTCTTTCAGCTATACCTAAACCATAAACAGGTAAAGCGGATATTGATGTAATGTTTAGAATGTATACAGTCATCATTTTAGAATTATAGTAGTATAGATGTGGACTTATTGCCATTTGGTTTCTGGAGGTAATGGGAGAAAAACTGGTTCCCAGATGAAGCATACATAGCAGAGTAAATCTGTGTGTGTGTGTGTGTGTGTGTGTGTGTGTGTGTGTGTGTTATACATGCAGGGTTTCAAACCATCATTTACACAGTGGCACGGAGGGCTTTTCCATCTCACACAGCATAACATCATGGACATGTGTCTCTGTGTCCATTGGCCTCTGTGGAGAGGAAACGTGCATGCCCACCAGCACCTGTAAACTCACAGTAAGTGCATTGGGTTCCTTTAAATTAGTATTTCAGGCTACACTCCTCCCCCACCCACCCTACCTCTGGTCAGGGTCATGTTTCTTACTCTGTGATAGATCATTGTACAAAGTAGATTCTGAAATTACAGGCCATCAGTGGAATCCTTTTTTGGGGGAGGGGAGGGGTTATCACTTTTGCAAGGGGAAGCAGCATACTTTGAGGTTAACAATGTGTGCTTAGGCCTTAAATTGTGTAAAATCACATAATGGAAAATACCTTGGGGGTAGGATAAGCATTTCAACAGAAACAGGACACCTTCTGCAAAGCACTGTACAATTACTCCATTGTTCTGTTCTTAAAAAAAAAACAAAAAACTTTCCAGCACTGGGGGAAAAGAGCATTTGGAAAGGTATATTGAAAAAGCCTTTGCTGAGCTTAAGTTTAAGAAAGAAATGCCAAGAATTCAAAACTCAATCAGGCTGCTTTACTTCCTTTTTTTTTTTTCTTATTTACTTTTTTTTAAACCTTTAATTTAGAAAAATAAAAATGAATTACTTTAGGGATTCATTAACAAGTGGTCCTACTATCTCAGTGCATTTTATAGGTCATGGAAAAGCGGGGTGTCCTCAGGACCTCCTGGCATTTCCTGCCTTAACTGTCTGTCAGGTTCATTGCCTCTGATAGAGATGAGAGGAAGAGTTTTGACTGCAAACAAAATATTCCCACCCTGCAAGGAGAGAAAAGAGTTCACAGAACAGTAAATAGTGAGGGACTAGGAGTTGGTTTAATGAATATTGAGGATTTCTTCCATTTGTATGGAGAATGGGTTCTTGATCCTGGATGGATAATGAAGTATTTGGAGAAGGGAAAAGGATAGAGCTCCTTCCAGCCAAGTGAGAGGTGGGTCAGCTCTGGAGACTTGGATTTTGCCATAAAGGAGGGGGTAGAGGGGTGGCCATGGCACTTAGGGATACACAGGAGAGTCAGGTTAACAGTACAAACCCGACTTGCAGAGACTGAGCTGAGGAGGGCGTCGAAAGCCAGACTGAGATGTTTGAATGATGATGGAGCCAACATGGCCACAGGAAGACTTCCTTAGACAGCTTCCAGGTCTTTTGCCCATGCCCTCTGTGCTTATGAGGGCGAAAAAAGGAGGTGGGGTAGGATTGTTGTGAAACAAGAAATCTGTCTCATTTTACAGTATTGGCCCTGAGTCTCAGAACATTCGGCGCTCTCCTTTATAAGCACATGTAACTCTGGACTTGTCCCCTTATAGGGTCTAGGATTTCTGACATGACTTAGGACAGCGATGTCAGACTCAGATTGTTTTAGGTATTCTGGCACTGTTAGAGCTGTGTCACACTCTTGGTGCCAATCGCTTATTTCTCACTTCACCAGTGGCACAGTTGAAATTAAGAGTATGTCACAGGTGTACAAAGCAAAGGTGTGCTCATAACCTGTCAATAGAAAAATGACACCATCTGTCGGCAATGTAGAAAATGACACCATGGATACCATTGAGGGTCAGGTATTAAATCCAAGATTACAAAGAGGTCTCTTTGATTGTTGCTAGTTTATAAAGAATGCTAATTATAAAGAAGTCACGGATAGAAATAGAAAAACTAGTACCTATAAATTGCCTTTCAGATACTCCTTTTCAAATAGGTAAAATGTCATATATATACATATATATATATATATGTATGTATATATATATATATATATATGTGTGTGTGTATATATATATATATATATATAAATCTGAGTAATAGAAAAAGAATAGGCCAGAAATTGTGTTCCCATGTTGAAGGCGATAGTAAATAAAATAGGTTTTGTTATATACTATGTGGTATAACTTATAGTGGTACAAATGCATTTCTCATCCTGGGAAGTGGGTTGGGTGGCTATCAGTGTGAGAGAACACCTTGGTTCTTGCCATAATAATCTAAAAATCCAATCCCCTGTTAAACTGCAGTCCTCTTAAACCTCTTGTGTGTGCCCTGATTTTAGTATTCATGAAGCCCATATATGCATTAAATAAAACAGTGACACAGAAAAACTCGCCCATCGCTTTGACAGAGGATTTTCGGTTAATTTATGCAGGCCCCTTTGCACTTCAGCATTTTCCCCACTGGTTGCTAAGCAACCGTTTGAGTTACTGCGCATGCCTTTTTTATGATAACTGTCATTATGATTATTTTTTAATTATACAGCTGGGACTATGGATTAAAACAGCATATTGTCACTCATTCTTTGCTGCTGTTTCTAGCATTCTTGCACACTCCTAGAATCACCTTCTGAAATTTGCATGGCAGTGATTTATGGTCGTTTTTTTTTGGAATTTCTGGCTTCACAAAGGAAATAGAGATGGCATCATAAGAGAAGCGAGATTTTTTGTGAAAAATGACTATCCCATACCTAACAAGCTATTATTGATCTGGATAGGCCAAGTCAGATATTAGGCTCTTGAATCTAAATTGTATATATTTTGTTCCTTTAATCACGTCTGCTTCTAATATTAAATGTCATTAAAGGCTTATATTGCTTTATAGTCTGTTTTTCAAAATTACAAAATGCTAAGCGTTTGTTGCTATTAAATCTGTTTCCAAATACAGCTACCATGCATTTGGGGGAGGGTTACAAGCACTAATCCCAGAAACATCAGGCATCCACACTTGCTAAATATGTTTGTTCTTTGTGGCCCAAATTGCTCCATACAGCAGTGCAGTTACGTGAGATAAAGGGGTTCCTTTAGCAAATAATATTACAGGTATGTGTGGTACACAATGTATGAAATACCCTAAAAGGAACACCACCAAAAAAATGGTTACTAGGTACATGCAAAAGCTTTTCATTTGATGTTCATTCGCGTATATTCTGACATTATTTTCTAAATATAAAGTGAATTTGAAGACAAAGGAATATGGAAATAAAGTGTTTTGGTTTTTTTACCCACTCAATTATTATTTGTTTAACATTGGAATTTTGGTTGAATGGGGTATTTAAATGTTTCTATGAAACTGAAGAGATCTTTGCTCTGAAGGAGAAATCCACAGTGGACTCCCCCTATCATGTGTGACAGAGTGCGGACCTAATGGTGTTTTAATGTGATTTTGAAGTTCGCACAGGGGCATTCATCTTCAAGAGAGTTGTAGAATTTTTCTTGATTTAAATGGCCCCATGTATATATGTGTGGGGTGCCAATTTGCTTTTTTTTAACATTTTCTGAAATGAACTAAAATCTTCCCTCTGTCGTGCATGATCTGCTGTGTTTTGTTTGTCCCCCCCACCCTACAGTTCAGGGCGACAGCTCAGTGAAGTCTTCATTCAGTTGCCTTCGAGGAAAGAATTACCAGAATACTATGAATTAATTAGGAAGCCGGTGGATTTCAAAAAAATAAAGGTAGATATTCTGTTTATACACTTTATTTTGAATAAAGGACAAGTGTAAATTCATTGAAATGATGACAGTTAGGACTTGGTGACAGCATCTTGTCTGACAACCGCTGACACCCATCCAGGGCCTGACACCAGAAAATTTGGGATGTCCCTGTGCCTTTACACGTGTGTGATTTAATCGTTAGGCTGAGAGCTCATGTTATACTGCGTTTTACTTAAGCCGCAGACTTTCCAGACCCATTGCTCTTTCTGTTCCCCGTCACGCGCTTGTTTCCTCCCCCACACAAGAAGGAACCCCGGTGGGAGGGTGGTCTCTGTGAAGGGCAGCCCCTGAAGTTGTGCAGTCCCACATCCCTGGCAGGGGAGTATGCTGACAAGACAAAGGGAAAATCAGGCTTTGTTAACCAAGTAATGATCGTCGCCTTTTCTCTCCCTCTTCTTTCCTCTATTTCACCCAAAATTTTCATCAGGAAAGAATTCGTAATCATAAGTACCGGAGCTTGGGCGACCTGGAGAAAGATGTCATGCTTCTCTGTCATAATGCTCAGACGTTCAACTTGGAGGGATCCCAGGTCTGTCTTTCATTGTCTGAAATCATTTTAACCTCAAATGTGCCTATGTTCCTTTTAAGTAAAATGTTTCATTTTCTAACATTTGAACCATTACTACTACCCTGGCAGAAGAAACATGAAAAAGAAAAGCCTGTATTCCATGCTACCTGTGTAAGTAAATTGATGCTTTGGCATTGTCAAACGAGTGCCACCTCCTCTGTACCCCACCTGTGCTGATTTCTACTCATGCTTCCCTTAAAGGCTCCACTTCTAATTAGAGGCGGGATTCAAGTAAATCACTTAATGTCATGCCTAAAGGTGGGAGGTCCAGTTTTTTGCTTTTATAGAGATTGTATATTTGATTATGTTTACTGTCGTTTTTCTGATTGTAGCCTTCCATTAAGAGTTGAAACAAGTATGATTTAAAACAAGAGGAAAAAAAATTGCTTTAATTGCTTACAAAAAAATGCTTTTCATCAGGCCAATTGTAATTCTCTTTCCTTCCCATCTCCATAGTAAGCAAGTGTAAGAATATATAAGTGACACTGAATTTATTAAAATAACTAGAGGGAAGACACTTTATTTCACTTTAATTACACCTCAATTTCACTCACCTATTGTGGGAACTCCCTTTTTCCTACCTGTTTCTCTGGCCTAATGCTCATACCCATGAAGAAGAAAGAACAAGAAAGGTCAGTGTGTCTGCCAACCAGTGCAGTGTCAAGCCACCATTAAATTCCTTGAGCCTCTTTCCTGCTCCTGCTTTTTTACCTCTGTGTCAGCTCTTGTCACTAAGTTGGAGAACATGGGAATCCTCAGAATGGCCCTTGAACAGGCTGTACGTTTCTAGGTTAATAGCAGTTAACAGTAGTAGTATTTTGACCAAGACAGTAGGTCTAGAAAGCAAACCTTGTGTTTTCAAGACACTCTTCAAAAAAAAAGTTAAGATGAAAACCTGGACATAGAGAGTAAATATTAATACATCAGTCAACAAGGAAGTCTTTCGTGAATGACTATTTTTGTAGTCTCTGGATAGATTTGGGGGTTCTTTAGAATAGTGTGGCAACACTGATATGTACGCTGTCCCTTTCCAGCCCCACAACTGCCCTGTCTGTGCACACTCACTGTCTCACGCCTCAAATGGGGTGATAAATAGCCTCTTGGCTGTCTTCCCTCCCAGTCTATTTCGGATACTAGTTTGTCTTTCTCTGATCACCTCCTTCTCATCCTATCCGTCTACTGCTCAACAGCTTTGCGGTTTCCCATGTATATTAAACCCTAGAACGAACTTAATCTCCATAGGCTGTTTTCTAAAGTTGTACCCTACCCTAACTCTTTAGCCTCATTTCCTGTTGCCCTTCAACCTAAACAGTTCATGGTCCAGTCAGACCAGTCCCCTCAACACCTGCTTCCCTGGATATGCATGCAGTGGGAAGAAATAATACAGAGAGCCTGTGTACCCTTTACATCGTTACAAGACAGTAACATGTTGTGTAACGTAGTCTAATAGTGTAACCTAGAAGTTGACACTGACATAGTCCCAGGTGCATCTTTTTTTATTTGTGCCTCCCCACCGTTCTCACTTGTCTCCTTTCCTAAAAAGCTCCTCTCCTTTCTCACCCCTGACAGAATCCTTCTCACTTTTAAGATCCAGCTCAACTCCAATGTCTCTGGCCGACTCTACACCAGTGGCCCCATCTCAGTCCTCTCCCCCTGTCCCGTGTCCTCCTATTGGACTATGTCATTTGGGGCTCACCACAAATTGCCCGGCATGTGGCACATCTTTACAATAAAGGAATATGTTCCTAGAGAACAAGGATCATTTTTTTTGTTTTTTATTTTTTACTTAATTATTGTGGTAAAACACATAATGATCAGTTTTAACACAAATTGGTCACGTTAACCACTTTTAAGTGTGTAGTTCAGTAGCATTTAGTATATTGTCATTGTGTGTAGCAGATCTCCAGAACTCTTTCATCTCGTAACACTGAAACTCTGTACCCATTAAACAGCTCCCCATCTCTCCTCCCCCCGCCCATGATAACCACAGCTCTGCTTTCTATTTCTATGAATTTGATTACTTTAGATACGTCATATAAGTCAAATCATTCAATATTTGTCTTTTTGTGACTGATTATTTCCCTTAGCATAATGTCCTCAAGGTTCATCCATGTTGTAGCATGTGACAGGATTTCCTTCCTTTTTAAGGCTGAGTAATATTCCATTGTGTATACGACACATTTTGTTTACCCATTCGTCCATCAATGGACATTTGGTTTGCTTCCACCCCTTGTATGTTGTAAATAATGCTGCTGTGTAAACATGAGTGAGCAGATATCTATTCAAGACCTTGCTTTCAGTTCCTTTGGACATATACCCAGAAGTGGGATTGCTGGATCACATGGTACTTCTGTTTTTAATTTTTTAAGAAAAAGGACCATTTCAGCTTTATATTTCTCTCAACAACTATGTTTAGGCATACACCAAAAATAAAGTACTGATTGGACTAGTATTGGCTGGTGCTGATAAACTCAGTAATAAAGAATAGCCTCCATTTGTGAGGGGAATTGCATTTTAAAGAAGGTTGCTTTGCCACAGTATTTAATAGATAAGTTCAAATAAAAAGTACTCTTTTTAAATTCTATTTTTGTTGTCACAGGAGAGAGGATATCTTTTAGAAGTCCACCCTTCTCTCAAGTGTGTGTGCGTGTGCGCACACACACACACACACACACATACACACACACACTGAAATTATTTCAACTGCATATAGACTTTCTCTTGTGAGAACATGTATGTCTGTATTGGACTTGGGGGTTTTCTCATTCGGGTTTCCTGTAGGCATAAAAGTTAACATTGATGTTTCTACTAAAATTCATGTAAAATAAAGCTGGTGTTTTGCATGAGGAAGAGAAGTGCATGTTGCAGTTGTGACTCTTAGGCCCTCAGCTTATAGTTTTTAACAGATGCCACTTGGACCATTTAGATCTATGAAGACTCCATCGTCTTACAGTCCGTGTTTAAGAGTGCGCGGCAGAAAATTGCCAAAGAGGAAGAGAGTGAGGATGAAAGCAATGAAGAGGAGGAAGAGGAAGATGAAGAGGAGTCAGAGTCGGAGGGTAAGCTCAGGCATCCGACTCCTGCACTTCTTTGCCCCTTGCCACCCACCCACATCAGTGTTGCCACCGATGCTAACGGAACGGACGTTAGCCAGGCAGATCTGGATTCCAGTCTTTGTTCTACCATGTCCTTGCCAGGCATCCCGGGCAGTGTACTTAACCCAGCTCAAGCTCCTCTGTAAAACTGAGGTACTAAACATGCCCCCCCAAGCAGATAAAGAGGTTCCCTGAAGGTTGCCTTTGAGACTCAATGTAATACACATTTTCTACCAACATTGTGGCTAATACCTATCTGCCCTGTAGCACAGTGGGAACCATAGAATGTTAATAGCTGGGCTCCACCCCAGAGTTTCAGTTTCAGTAGTGTGTGGTGGGGACTGAGAGACAGTATTCCTAGCAAGTTCCCAGGGGATACTGATGCTGCTGGGCCCAGGACCACACTTTGAGGATCACTGCTTTAGAAAATAATCATACCGCTGAGTTGAAACGGGTAGCCCATTTTATCCATCATGGATCAGCTACTGATCCTGTCTTTATTTAAAATGTTGATATTTTGTTCATCATGGATTTTTTTGGATTAATTTTGAGTTTTTAAAATACTGCATTAGAATATTATTTATTTTGATTACTCGGTTTTGGTGGCTTCTTAAATTTTGCACCCAAGTCAAGTACCTCTCTTGTGTTATCATAGTCTCAACCCTGGTTAATAATAATTTTAATATTTCAAGGTTAAAGCTGTCTTCAGAAGTCTAAAATTTCTTCTTGTCTAATTATGTTTTCACCCCAAACCTTCTCTCAAAGTAATAAATCCCACTAATTTATGGTTTGCTGTGTGAAACA